CCGTTTTACAGCTTGTAGTGAAGTTAGTTGAACGTCTTGCGTGCACACCCATGGCCTCGAGAGGTGGATTCGTTGTTTGTGAAATGACGTGTGTTCCGGAATTACTTACGACGATTCGGCCGTGGCCTACAGGCCCGCCGCCGAAGCCGCAGCGAGCCGGCGGTGGCGGCAGCGGCCGACCCGGCCGCGCTGCTGGCCCCGCGCCCCGCGCGCAAACGGGGGCAGCACCGCCGCGCGGACCGCTCTTCTTCCCGGGCGACGGGTACGCGGCGGCGCCGGAGCGGGGCCGAGGTCATCCGCCGTACCCGGCGGCAGCGCAGCCGTTCTCCGACCCGTACTACCCAGCCTACCGCGGCCCGCTGGTGGACGAGGAGGCCAGGTGAGTGGCTGAGTCAACCGCAGGTGGAGTCATGTGAGCACCCGTGTGAGCCACAGAGGGAGTCATATGAGGACCCGTGTCAGCCACAGAATAAGTCAGTTGGATAGCCGCGTCAGTCACATATCAGGTCGAGAAGGCGGACATGTCAGCTACGGGGCAGGTCAGGTGACCATCTGGAGGCGCTAGTCGAGAGAGAACTGGGAGAACTCGAGCGCGGGGCAGGGAGCGCAGAGAACTTCAGCTTCAGGTGAGAGGAGGGGTGGGTCTTGCTAACAGCACAGCCGCCGCTGCTGCAGCTACCGCCACCCTTTCTCCGCAAAAGGCTTGCTAACAGCACGGCCTGGCTTTACACGATGTCTGAGGACACTTCGCATCCTTCAAACTAGGAGATGTGACTAAAGCCTTCACACATAGGTCATCGATACGGTACTTTCGGCTTGCAGTTGCGTCGTTCCTATTTGAGACACCTAGAAAACAGAAGGTCCCTTGCTGAAGGTCACTTGCTGGAAATATGTGCTTCTGTCATCTCATTCGGATATGCAAATTATTGCCTTTTCTCTCGGTGAAGCGAATGTACACTATACGTGTGTGCAGACAACAATGTGATGTTCTCTGGTGTCTACTCTGTCGGAAGCACCTTTTAGCGTCATTGAAAATATCCCCTTAACTAAAAATAGGGAGACAGTGCGCCGGACACTATCAGTGTTGAAGAAATATGTCACCAAAGGTGCTCATAATACACGTGCATCGCGGCTGTAACCAGTAACAGTGTTCACAGAAGACGACATCCACCCACCTCATAGACGTACTTTCGTACAACAGCGAACATTGCTCTCAGCCTCCTGCAACACGGTTCAAATGCCTTATCAGATGTGATGTGAATGGCTCGGCTATGGCACACTTCCCCGGCGCAAGCCTGCGCCACTGCTCGTCCCCAAAAGCTTTTGCTCGCCTCCTCAGGGCTCGCAGAATGTGCAGGATCTCACATAAGCCCTCTACTCTGCTTTGTTCCCACTGCGCAGAATCTCACAAACGCCATCTGCACTGCTTTATTCTCACCGCCCAGCCGTGCGGTCTCTCGCGCGTGTGCCGGCTCTCTACACCAATGCTCGCAACGCCTCTGGTCAGCCACGTGCCGCCGCCACCTTCACCGCCAGGCTTCTGCGGTGCTGCCGCCTCCCCGGCCGGCTCGCTCGGTGTCTCGCCGGCCGCTGAGGGCCGTCCTGTTCTCTCTGTGCTCGCAGAATGGCCGGTTTCTTTGACCCCGTGCCCGTCAGGAGGTCAGCCGCGGGCCGACGATACGATGACAAGTAGGCCGTGCTTGTGTGTCTGCGCGCTGGCGCTGGCGCTCTCGCCTCGCTCCTGCCACCCCGCTAGCCCGTCGTTTCTCAAGCTCTGCTGGCCGTCAGCCCGGTGACATGCACGGCCGCGCCCCGCATGCTGTCCCGTCCCGTCCCGCCCCGTCCCGTCCCGCCCGGCCCGACCCGTCCCGCCCGGCCCGGCCCGGCCACCAGGCCCGCGCCTAGCTGTAGAGGTGACCAAGCTGAACACCTGCCCCCGGCAACAGCGACAGGGGCAGGCCTGCCCATCAGCTACCCGCCAAAGCAAAACGCATGGAAGCTCTCAGTTGTTACGTAGCTCACGTGCGCCACGCGCACCAACTGACCATCACCACGCCACGTGGGACATGGCTCGTGCTTTTGTGACGTGACCGAATCCTGGTTTCTGTTGGCATGTGGTTTGTGAAATGCTGGTCCGTAAACTGACGTCGTATGCCTGGTGACGTTGTTGCAGGATTTTTGTCGTGAATGTTGAGCGCGGGTTGCAGATTGGTGCCGAACAGCTGCTATTTGGTTTGTCACTCAAGTCGTGTCTTCGCAATGCGGTGTTGCGAGCTCATCCCACTTGAGTGCTGAAGCTCATTCTTTCAGAAAGGCGAACATATGGCAAACTATGACAAAACAGTAAATTCTGATAACATCGCCAGAAGATTTGGGGTGTCCCGTATTTCTCTCAATTTTCAGCAACCGTACAAAGTACGAAACCCACAGGGACAGTCTCACAGGCTATAATAAAATACATGAGTACTGAAAAAACAGTCTAACGCCACCAGAAAAGACTAGAGGACTTAGTGGACAGTCTCGGAGTAAGAGCCCTCTTCGTAAACACAGAGCTGTTGTGTAATCTCAAAGAAGGCCATCCACCATCGCTGGTCTTCGGCCCTCTCCAGAGTATGTACCTGTTTGTGCCTCCTAACGCTTTCCAAACGTTTAAGTTAGTCATAGGCGTGTGGGGAGCATGGAGATAAGGCGTCACAGTTTGTAGGGCCCTTCATTGACCAGAGAACACTCTACAGAGCTTGGTGATCCCTTTCATGGATGGGATATTTCTCTTACTTTATTTTAAAGTACTTTGCTTTCAAAAGTCGGGCGGCTGCGTTCCGCGTGAGCTCCGTAACCGCTTGTGACATGGGAAGGGTCCTGAAACGGGGAGCATTTTCGTGAAGTACTCGAATGATGTGTTGATATCCTTGTTTAACTAGAATCCCCTTGCATTTTGAAGTTTGTCTTTTGAAGCATATGAGCTCATCATACCGTAAGACCATTCTTGTACATATCAAAGCGCAGTGGACAGTTCGCCACCAGGAACGCACGCCGCCTCCAGGCTGCCTTATGGCAAACTCTGACACCATTCCAGCACCGTCCTGGTGCGTCAGTGGGCAAGATATGCCAGTGGTGTTGGCACAACGGCTGTGACGTGCGACATCAGAAGCCCGATTGTGACTTGGGAACGACAAATGCAGATGATCGCCGAGATGTTTCATTAATTTCCCACATGTTCTAGTAACATGTCATACGCCGCCCACGACTTCGTACATTGCATCTGTACGTGCAGCGTCGAACCTTTAACACCGTACGTGGACCCTGTTCTCTGGTCTCCCCATGATCGCCCGTGTCGCCGACCATCGGTGCGCTGATCCTTCGGCCGACGACGTGCAGGGTGCGCGTGGAGTCGATGGAGCGGCAGCTGGCCAACCTGACGGGCCTGGTCCAGAAGGCACTGCACGCGCCGCGGGTGGCGCGCGCCGTCTCCGACCTCGACTCGGGCTACCGGAGCGACCGGGAGACGTACTACCGCACGCCCAGCGGTGAGTGCCGCTCCTGACCCCCGGTGTTCGCCGGGCCGCGCGGAGGGGCGCGCTCGTCTGTGTCAGCGCGGCCCCGGGCAGGGGTCAGAGAAGACCACTCCATACGCACACCCGTGGTTTAAGATGCAGCTTTTGAATTTGTGGTGTGGTATGATAGTCAGCGTTTGACAGCAGTAGCGCGATTCATTGAGCTGTAGCAACACTTCACACACATGTGGCTAACTAGGCAGTTTTTAGACTATTGATGAATCAGGTGTCATGTCTGGTTGCTTTGCGGACACTTCGTTTTGCAGGCATGCTTCTTTATAGAACGATGTCAGTAGGAAATGGTGTGCAAATATCGCCTTCAGCCAACTGGCACAAGGTAGAACAGCTTAGACACAACGTAGTCAGAGCTCTGGGCAGCGGCTGCTGCCAGGCCAGGTCGACTCAGAGCATACAGCCCGCCACCCGCGACCAACACAAAGCGCTTTGACTCAGCGAAGAGTTGGGTTTCGGCAGTCTCGTTCGAGTTTTTTCTCGGGTTTTGTCCTCATAAATAAAATCGACCGCATGATAGGGCTGACTCGGAGCGGAACAGTCCATTGCTTGCTACAGATGTCCTCCCTCAACAGCGGGCTGACAAGACTAAATAAGCAGACATGGACCAAATCTCTGTGAATCGTTTATCCCGAATCCAAGTACATGCTTTAGTGCACGCCTCGCTGGTCAAAAGTGGTTCACGCCAGCGTGGCGGACCGTGCGACCGTCGTGACAGTGTGGTACTGCAGGCTACCGCCATACTTTTCTTAGATGATACTCTGTCGTTGCAGCCAATAGTAGTTTTGAAGTAGAGCCAGAATACCACCTGGAAGGCATCCAAGGTGTGTCGACGTGCTTAGTCAACCGCTTGGGGCATGGCACAATCTGTGGCTACGACGTTGTATGGATGTGCTATGTGTGCGCTTTGAGACATGTGTTGGTTGTTTGGTCATGTACCGCATGCTGAAATGCTCACTGGAGACCAGAGGAGTGGTGGTGAAAGGCGCAGGCACGGCTTTTAAAGAGAGCTAAAACAGGCCGTAAGATTGACTTGTTTCGGTTTACGTCATCAGTGTGAAGTGGAGCTCACTCTACTGTCCAGTCTAGAGGTGCGCTTATGGAACGAAACCTTCTGCCAGGATCCGTTTACGGTGCCAAAATGAAACCAAAAACACGGGCTGCACTGTGGCTGTGTCTTTTGTGGTGATCATCAGGGATGCAGCATTTTTAGCATGAATAAAGCGGTAGGAAATCTGTCAGGATATCGTCAACAGCCTATCTAGTCATCACGTCAATTGGTCATCTTGATGCTAAAAATAAAATTACGGCACTCTCAAGTCTGGCAAGCTGATAGCCATATACATACATATATATATATATATATATATATATATATATATATATATATATATATCACTGTTCTTCCGCCATTGGCTTCTACTCTGATTTATGTGTTTCTGTATTCATGTAAGCGTGCATTTTCGGAATTCATAATTTCCCTTTACAAATTTAAGGATTGCATGCATTCTATAATACGCGAATTTAGATCATACATTTTTCCTTGAAGTGAAAATAGTTATCTTAAAGCTTTGCTCATTTTGAATGGGTGTCTTGGGTACGAACCAAACGTAACACTGACACTATTCACTTCTGTTTGTAAGTTTGATATTGATGTTCTGAAATATTTTACGCATGGTCTATTGTATTCCATTGTTTTGGTGAACATGTCTTTTCACCCCTTTGGTCTCACTCGTGATGCCTTATTCCACAAGTAGATGACTACTGCGTGAATAAGTGTCCAAAACGAGTCGTTCGTAAAGGCTTTACAACTGTGCATACATGTCCGAGTCCGTTTCGCTTTCCCGTGTATTATGCCTCCAGCGTCACGTGTTGTTTGACTAGGCGATGTGGACCCGTAGCCGGTGCATTACGTGCAGTTGTGGTCGTGTCAGTTTCATCTGCTCCTGCCGCTCTGCGCGGTTCCATTCAGTACGATCTCCCGCATGTGCAGCCGACTGCCGTAGGTCAACTGCTGTCTGCCGTTCTCTTTTGACTGAGAGACATCTGTAATTTCAGACGACAAGCTCCTAAAACCCGAAAAACCTCCAAAATTAGGACGAGGCAAAGGTATGCGACTGCGCATGCGCTGATGATGTGAATGAACATCAAGCTGTTGCTCGCGATATCTTGTCTTCTTTAGCCGGCACAGGCGAGAATGTTCTCTCTTCGCTTCCTCACCTTTCATCACGAGTGCTTTATCGCTGCTGTTTTTGATCACCAATAACCAGGCTATAGCGGTTTTGCAATGAAATCGTTGAGGGTAAGCTTACAATTAATTGTGACACTGCGATAGAATCAGACCACAAGGATCCGTCGGCGAAGAAAGTTCTTGTCGACAAGTGCGGGGCCCATGACCACCAGAGAGAAGTACATGTGCTATCTTCAGGTGCACAATCAAGGGCACAGGTGGTGAAGCACGATACCAGTGAGCACTGCGGCCGAGGCGGGTGGCAGGCTGCCCACCGCGGCACGCCCGCAGTGGGCCAACATTTTTACATTAGTTGAGCCATGCATCATACATTTGTGCTGAAAACACATGAAAATATACACCATTGTACTTGGAATTATGAATTAAACAAGCTATACACCTGTTGAGAATTCATGTTGCAACGAGGCTTGGTAACTTTAAGCATGTCAAGCTGAACAAGTTCGATTTTCGGGAATCTTTGACATTTGACCTGACATAATCGGGTCATTTATTAAACTTCTAACACAAAAGCGGTGACTAATTGTGAGGTTTCGTTAAGAACAACCCATTGGCGCTTTTTGCTAAGTTCTAACTTTCTTACTTTGGAAATGGCAGGGGGTCGTGTCGACCCCATGTTTTTATGGCCATGGTTTTATCAAGTTGTCCTCCAAAAATGCTCCCCGGATGCCTAAATGTCGGAAAATCATCTATCCAGTTAAAAATAATGGCAAGCACAGGTGTTCACCCACCATAGCTTATTATGGAAGAGCATAACTTGGTTACTAGTTGCATTTGCAGAAAATCGTGTCACGTGGGTATATGACGCTTCGACGTCGGTTTTCTGTGCAGTGCACGTCGATCATTTGTCGAAGACGGACTTGTGCACCTCTCGCAGGCGATCTGCCTCAGCGATAAAGACGAACGTGTGCACCTCTCGCAGGCGATCTGCCTCAGCGATAAAGAACGTTTCGGTGCACAGCTGATAATTTATATGGGAGTCAACTGCTTCTCATTACGATAATCTTACTTAACATGCACACATGTATATTTGCTACAGCAAAAACCGGGTACAGTTTTACGCATCTATTATAGCTGCGAATGAGTCAGAGCACTATTAGAGCAACTCATCTGACTATGAATCATGTTACTTTTTAGCCATGATCGTCGGATCACAGACGGTTTGCAATACCTGTCGATGAAAACGAATGCTTAGCTGCAGCACAAACCGCTTGACATCATCAGAAATTTACGAGCTGATTGGGCATTTTGCGTACCTGGAGGCCTGGTGTTAAAGCAAAGCATTTGAGGAATGCAGCAGGAAGACAGGCCATATTCTTACACGCAAGATGTCGTAATTTGTGTTAATACCTGGAGCACTACGTTGTTACTCTATTCCGCAAAAGCAAGCGGTGGTATTGCCGCGCATTTCGGAGCGTGAAGCCGTGCGGATGAAGCCGTTCCAGAAAACATGTCTCCGCCAATCGACTTCTACCCCATTGCTACATGTTTTTGCAACCTTCTCATTTCAGTAAAAAACGCACCATCCCTTTTACGTGTGAACATTGTTGGTATAAGTCTCAGCATCAGCAATTTTTCAGAGGAAAGCATGCAGGCAAAGTGGGGAGTGATTCAGGATGCGTCTGTGAATGTTATGAAAGTTGTACGCCTTTCATAAAAAGTAGCTTGATGGTGCGCGAAGTAGCAGCAGTACTAAACCATGCTTCTGCGCGTTGCAGTGCAAGCGCGTACGGCACATTCACAAGTGTTAATACTCGAGCATGCAAATGTGCATTAGTGCATCCATATTTGTGCGAGTGGATAACTGTGTGCATGATGATGCTGTTAATGCCGGCATGAGGCATGTGCTAGTGCGTGTGGAAATCTAGCGTACGTCAAGAGGCATGGGACCGTGCATTTCAACCGATAGTGGTATGATTGTTCAGTTTCAACATACAAGAGCTTCTGCGACTACAATTATACGGTCATGGCGCATAGGCTGCGTACATGTTGGCATGCAAACAAGTGCAGGAATTCATTTCCGACCCTTCCTTGCTGTGCATCCGGTCTAGAGACACCGGGTGTTTGGCATGGCACTGCCGGTATAGCGTACTAAGCTTGTGTCCGTGGCTCTGGGATGGTGTTGGCTGAGCTGGCGTTGATTGGATTTTGCCGGCATCCAGGGAATGATGGTCTGTATCGAGAACATTGGAATTCGCTGCTAGAACTAACCAAACCTCGTGGACTGCAGGCCATTACGTATGCATATCAACATGTGCCGGCGTTGTTTCTGTACCAGGATGTTTAACAATGAATTTCTACTCTGGCAGCAACTTGCTGTTTTAAAAGAGGCTTGATGCGTATTTGGAAGTGTTTAGTTCACCAATTACCAGATCATCGACGTTTGATCCACTTCGAGGCCATGTGGGTAAATGACATCGTATGGACGATCACGGTCAAAGTTCAGGGCAGATACGGAGCAACATGACACAACCTCAACTTAGACAATGGAAAGGAAAGGACGAGAAACCCATGGCCTGGAGTCTTGCTAGCCCACGCCACACGACTGCGATAATTTCTGTAAAATCGGTTTTAAGTCTGGTCGCGTTCCCACCACTGTGCTCCAACGCCGCTGGCTGAGGGTGACTTCAGGAGCTACTGGCCTTATACGATGCTGGCCTTACACGATTACACGATGCACGATGCTTCACAGCTGGCCTAAGACGATGACGGGAGGCATGATTGCCGCTGTTTAAATTCATCGAGCGTTGCTGCTTCTTGCCAGTCTTACCGTGACGATTGCCCGGCGATGTCTGTTTCCCTGCAGACAAGAGCGCTGCCGCAGGGGGGGGGGGGGCACGTGACAATCTGATGTTGTTCATGCTGAAGCGCATTCAGCCAAAAGCAGACAGCTGAAGACGGCTGACGATTTGGGTGTATTTTTAGCGCTTTTCCTGCAATCAATAGGATAAGTTTTTAGAACAAGTAATAGTAGAAGTTAGTAGTTGTAGTAGGCTCTAGTTAAAGATTCTTTTCAAAACGCACCTGCTTGTCTGTTCTTGGCAGATAATTATTTGCATTCATCCTGTTCCAACCGGCCTCCATGTGTCTCTGCTCGGCTTTCAGCACGCTTTCGCCGTTGCCGCCTTGTTGACATAATTCTTTGTTGCATATTCATATTTCACATCTCCTCGTCATTAAATGTCTTCGTCGGCTGCGGGTTCCGTTGGCCGTTGTCTCCAGTCTGAGAGGGTGTCTTTAACAAAGCACACGTCTTTGCAGATAAGTCGGTGTCTTTCGAAAAATCAGTCAGCTTCAGCGACGAGCCGCACGACCCCAGCGTACCCCCGAAACAGCACTCGCCGACGCATGCCGGTAAGGGGCCTTACGTTTTGGAGGTATTCGTCGTGGCAGGTCCTCGAGGCATACTTAAGCCTTTTCGGAAGAATTTTTCCGTCACGGAAACGCTACTAAACTAGCAAGTACAAAGCTGATAAGCTAGCGCGACTATAGGTGGGTATGGGTATGGCGGGACCATAACCTCCTGGTGGTTTGGCGTTTAGGCCAGGGACTATAAAGTGAATGTCACTAAGGCTACGTTTCCTCGGACATACGGCAATAGCTAGACGCTGCCAAAGCTCTCCGTCTCTCGCCCGACGAGGAAATCAGCCTGGCCCCAAGACTGCCGACACAATTTCCCGTCGATGAGCCACAGGCCCCGCCGTTTTCAAACACGACTGGTTAAAATTGCAACCGCTGAGTGGGGCTCGAGTATTTTCTGCCCTTTCTGCGTTCGATTGCTTTGGCTACAGCGCCAGCGGACTGTCGCGGAAGGGATAAGGATGGAGGCGGCTAACGTATTGGTGCACGTGACATCCCCTGCCATGCTCTTACCAATGGGCAAGTGGGAATATGAGCATCCTATCAGGCCTTTTACCGTTTTCCCCGGGTAGGTTCCAGGAAAGCTGGCATTCTGCACGTAGCTAGGGAGCGTCAGACCTGTTGTGCGTCACAGACCTAGGCCACCGTATCTTGCAGGCAGCACCGCTTGTTCCCAGCTAAAATCATCGAATGAGACGACAGTAATCGCGCATGCCGCAGACCTGACTATGTCGTCGAGCGGCTTCAGACGTTCTGACTGTTGGTAAACTGTGCTGCCCGTGACACAGATTCGCAGTTTTTGAATCCACTTGCAGTTCTTGAGAAGGAAGAACACTGCAGTGACGATTGATGTGAAGTGAAGGGCCAGCCACGCGCTCCAGATCCTCTCTTGCCCTGTTCAGCATGCTCTGCATTGCTGTATTCTTCAGCGGCTCCCTTAGAATCGTCGCTCCGGACGTACAAAGAAGCCTCTAAACATACATCGTTTCCAAAGCTCTACACGGCGAATGTGAGGGAAATTGACGGTTGGCGGGACGTTGGCGAGACCTGAGTGCATGAGGCCTGAGTGTATGCTACCCCTGAAGGTACGAAGCGGCTGCATCATCAAACAACAATCAATACCTTTGTAAAAGCCGGTCGAGCTCAAGGTAACACCAAATTTCATTTGTATGTGCATGGCGAATCAACGCACAACTATCATCAGATGAAGCGAAATGACGAAAAGGATGCAAACATCGATGTAGCATTTATGGGATATCACTAGCATCGTCATGTATGCATGAGGCCATCAAGGCCAAAGTCTTGCTGGGTCACGAAACGTCCTCAGGCTTTCTCCTGAGAGGAATTCCTTCCCAAGACAAACACCTTCCCAGGACCTTTGCGGGTTGTCCTTGTCATCTTTTTACCGGCGGCGTTTGAGCCTTTCTCAATTTCCATCAGGATGTGCACTGCCAATTAGCATCATGGCGCGTTGGTGTTCCCACTCCCCCACCCCTTTCCTTAATAATTTAGTGCTTAGCGAAACTTGGCGCAGACATTACGAAATTACGATGCAGAGTTGACGACCAGTGAAGGACTAAAAGCCGTCGACGAGCTTTTCGAGCCGCTATTCAGCCCTCCCCCCCCCCCCCCTCCACCCCCGCCGCCCAAATGAAGACCGTAAAAGTGTGATATCTCTAAACGAACTCCTGCAGTTAAAAGCAAGGTAGCCCTTTAAACGAAGGACCAATTGCAAATGTGTTCTAAAAAAATGATACAAGTGATCGGTACGACAATAAGGGGTTTGCTGGGAAAGTCCAGTCGCATTCTGCAGACCTCAGCTCCTAGCATAGGGTAGCACCTCATTTTTGCGGTCATCCGTGTTTCATCGGTTGGTCTATAAACAATATGACCGCCACATCTAACTGATGCATTGTCGTGTACGGCTGTTTAAGTCATTTATCAACATAATCCTTGAGGTAATTCAAAGGTTTTGAAGGTTCTCAGACATGGGGGATGTTCACTGAACGTTCAGGCTGAGTTTTACGCCATTGTCTTTTGCTCAGTTGGCTCATTTTTAAACAAGAATACTCACGCGGGATTTTGCAAAGGGTTAAAAATTGCGGAACTTTGCGTGTGTCGGTTCGTGCGGCAAAACTGCCTATTATTTACTAAAATGTCAAAAATGTAATTGCCAAAATTGTCATGGCTTATACGCTGGCCACTGACCTCCAGCGAGCTAGGGGAGCAGTTGGTCGCGTCTTAACTCGCCTCTCTTATGATTACAGCCGACAAGGTGCCCGTGAAGCCAGCCATCAAGTCATCAACGCTTCCACGCATGGGATCGCAAGGTACTGAAGGACTGCACCGCCCTCAGCCATGTGGTGGCACACCGTCTCCTGAGATATGTCAGAGTACAGGGTGCACTGGCTCGTGAAATGCGTGGGCCTGACGAGGTAGCCCCCACCACACTTTTCAGATGGTTGAGCTGCAAATTACTAAATCCCATTTGTTTGTATTGTAAACATATGAACGATGCGTTTAAATGTGAGCAGGCTACAAGTTGTTACATAATTCAAAACAAAACGGCGGATACCCGGAGAAGTGGTGAGACATGTTTATTTGACATCTACGAGCTAGGCTGTCGTCTCCCGATGATACAGGTTTTCTAAGCCCACCATCAAATGTGGAATTATGTAACACATCGATGGATATTGACCGCACGTTGAGCGTTGAGCGGTATCACCCAATGTAACAGGCTACCAGCCCGACTGAGGCTTGTGCGCTGTACCTGCGTGACGTCATCACACGGAGCGGATAAAGCCCGCTCTTGACCTGTGTGACGTCACACCACTGAGTGGATAAAACCTCCGCCTGACCTGTGTGACGTCACCCCACTGAGTGGACAAAACCTCCACCTGACCTGTGTGACGTCTCCCCACAGAGCGGATAAAGCCTCCCCCTGACCTATATGACATCACCCCACAACGCTCCACCTGGCCCGTGTGACCTTACCCTACAGAGCGGAAATAGCCTCCGCCTGACCTGTGTGATTTAATCCCACAGAGCGGATATAGCCTCCGCCTGACCTGTGTGATTTAACCCCACAGAGCAGATAAAGCCTCCGCCGGACCTTTGTAATTTACCCCACAGAGCGGATATAGCCCCCGCCTGACCTGTGTGATTTAACCCCACAGAGCGGATATAGCCTCCGCCTGACTTGTGTGGTTTAATCCCACAAAGCGGATATAGCCTCCACCTGACCTGTGTGACTTAACTCCGCAAAGCGAATATAGCCTCTGCCTGACCTGTATGATTTAACCCCAAAGAGCGGATAAAGCCTCCGCCTGACCTGTGTGACGTCACCCGACAGAGCGGATATAGCCTCTGCCTGACCTGTGTGATTTCACCCCAGAGAGCGGATAAAGCTTCCACCTGACAGAGCGGATAGCCCCTGATCTGACCTTGTGACGTCACCCCACAGAGCGGATAAAGCCCCCGCCGCCTCCCAAGCCGGCAATCCTAATGAGTCACGAGGGCAAGCATAGCGTGCATCGAGGTAGTAGTAAGGCGTCCGGTTCATTCCAGAGTCGCCTCTCTCTCTCTCTCTCTCTCTCTCCTCTCTCTCTCTCTCTCTCTCTCTCTCTCTCTCTCTCTCTCTCTCTCTCTCTCTCTCTCTCTCTCTCTCTCTCTCTCTCTCTCTCTCTCTCTCTCTCTCTCTCTCTCTCTCTCTCTCTCTCTCTCTCTCTCTCTCTCTCTCTCTCTCTCTCTCTCTCTCTCTCTCTCTCTCTCTCTTTCTCTCTCTCTCTCTCCCTCTTTTCTTTTTCTCCCTTTTCCTTCTTCCAATTACTCTCTGTATCTCGGTCATGGATGGACATGAAGGCAAAACTGTTTGTAGCATTCTGTGTCAGGTCGGGCATGACAATGGTCTTAGCGTAATGCATGGCCAGAGCCGCTTCCCAGTATGCGTCACTTGCAAATGACGATGACCAGAGCTATTGCTACTGCTATTCGTTAGGGAACATCCTCTGTGCATATGCCTTTGGAAACTTTGTTCACCGTCCTGCATGTTACATGCATCGTACTAATAAGATATTTGGCATGTCTATCCTTCACACTCATGTGGGCTTTTATGTCGCATGTCTTTGTGAGTGCAGTAAATGCTAGATATGTGGGCCAGTGATATTTATTTTTTGACATATCTCCCGCAAATTGTGACTTAAAAATGAATGTTGGTCATATGTTTGTTCTTGGTATGCTCGTGTTCCCTATGTATGGCGGCGCACATTTTTACATTTTTCACCTTGAGAAGCTCATCTGTTTGTTGCTAAATGTGTGTAACAGTTATATTCATGTTTTGATAAATATTTTTACGTAAATTTTCTTATTAAAGAATGAATTTAAGGAGGTGTATACTTTGTATGGCCTAATAAAACAAAGCCGACACACACGGGGAGCTGAAATGTCCGTTACAGTCGGTGTGCAATACGCCTTGGAATGCAACATTTACTTGTAAGCACCCACCGTAGGAAACGTTTCCTTTCATATGATATCTTTGTTCATCTGGGCTTGTGTAATTCGGCGACAAACTTTATCTGGTTTTCACAATATACAAGGAACTGGCAAACCGCCAGGCATTGCAATACTTGCAAATATTTTCGACGTGCAACTATTTTCCAGCAGTGTGTGGTATATTTCTAACTGCGTGGCTTGATAGATAAGTGACAGTACTGCTCGTGCCTGTCTTTCTGCCGAGTCAATCAAATATAAATCTTCTAAGTGTATGGTTTCCATCGCCAGCATCTCACTCATTCACTTCAATAACCACTCCACACAATAGCGTCTTCACGTACACGGAGCGTCCGCAGCAGTCCAACTCTTCAGTGTGCCCTCGCACATTCAAACCTCCTCGGCCACAGATGACCCTCTTTATATGCGTGACCTTGAAATAGAAACGACGGCAAGCGTCGGGTGCGGAAATAAAAAGTGACATTTTGTCATAGTCAGTCATCAACAAGCGTTACGACCTCGTACGATGGGCGGCTTGACCAACCGAGTTGGACTCACCCTGCAGCTGGGGAGTGCCAGATGTCCCAGTACCTTTTTTGAGCGCGATGCTTACAATCGTCTTTTTCGAATAGCTATCCATAATTCGATCTGACGCGTTCGGCCCCGCACAGTATAACCACAGGTTAAAGGCAGGTAGTGGCCGGCGAATGGCCACTTGAAAATTGGTGTGCTTTATTTAGTGCCATTAGGTGCAATTTGTGTGACAGGGTGTAAGCGGGTGTGTCCCGCAGTTTATACGTTGGACAAGGTACGCAAGAGGAAAAGGCTTTGTGTGCGGCCCTGTCTACTACAAGGCCCTGAAACCAGTCTAGGATGGGGCCGCCCATAAATCATTTTATGCATTGATGCATTTTGTGCAGCCCCTCTCCACTCGCTACGCACTGGTTACTGCGGGCGAGATCCCACCCCCCCCCCCCCCCTTCCCCGGTCACCCTGGGTTGAGCATAACGTCCAAAACTCTCAACTCCCTAAACTCCTTTACTCCATCAGCAATGGAAGAGTTTACGCGGCTTAGTTTTCGAAATGATCGATTTTGCTCTGATGGCGTTAACCATGTTATGTTTTGCGTACTGAATTTTTTATCTGCAGTTTTCCTCTCATTTCTCTCCCTCCTCATCTTTCTTTCTCTCTTCACTCTTTCCCTCTCTCCTTGCCTTCCCTCTCGCGCGCTGGTCTATCTATCTTCATTCTTCCCGTTCCAACTCTCACGTTCTCGCGCTTTCTCCTGTGTCCTCCGCCCTTCTTCCTCTTCGCTCCGTGCTTCGCTCGCGCGCGCTCACTTGGACCACGCTGCACCTGGCCTCCGTCGCCGCCGCTCTGTACGGCGACGCCGACGGTGGCGGATCTCGGCCCGCGTGACGTCACCTCCGCCTGTGCGGCGGCCCGGCAGACATGACGTTCTCGCCGGAGACGCTGGGCCAGCTGCGCAGTCTCCAGAAGAAGGCGCGCGACCTGCGACAGGAGATGAGGAAGCTGCGCCGACTCTCTCAGGAGCACGCCGACGCCGTTAGGGAGATGATCGGGGACACCTACTCCAAGATACGGTGCGTTCTCTGCGAATACTCTAGGTTGTTTCCTTGATGGGCTTCTCATGTGCCGTTTTTGGTCGAACTGCAGGCTGGTGCCGACTGTCGTTTTTTTGGACGTGGCTGGCGTCTTGCATTTTGCGCGCGTTGCCCCGCGCGTGCCATGCTCCGCGCCTGCCTTGCCCCGCGCGCGCCGTGCCCTGCGTATGCCTAGCCCCGCGCGTGCCGTGCCCTGCGCATGCCTCGCCCCGCGCGTGCCGTGCCCTGCGCATGCCTTGCCCCGCGCGTGCCGTGCCCTGCGCATGCCTTGCCCCGCGCGCGCCGCGCCCTGCGCATGCCTTGCCCAGCGCGCGCCGCGCCCTGCGCATGCCTTGCCCCGCGCGTGCCGTGCCCTGCGCATGCCTTGCCCCGCGCGTGCCGTGCCCTGCGCATGCCTTGCCCCGCGCGTGCCTTTCGCTTTTCGTGTACAGAGGACATCAACTTTTGCATAGCATTAGCGCATTTGCGTTGCAGTTAACTCAATATACATTGGATGCAGGTCAACAGGAGCTCCCGGTCGCCGTCTGTTTCACTGTGCCGGGCAAAGTCTTTATAACGAGATGAGAATCGTGTACACCTGGCTTGACCTTGATGAGCAGGCTTGACATCCTCTAGGTCATCTGTTCTGATCAAGTGGACAGCAGTCGATTTATAATTAGGCATGCCACGGGCCTACAACACTGGTTTTTAACAATCAAAAGTCGTTTGTGTTTTCCTGTGAAAAGCGCCAACATCCGGCACGGGTGAAGTGTCGCGCGCTTGATTGCCTTGACGGCTAGGCTGAGCTGGTCTGCGCCGCAGGACGTACCTGTTGTCGGGCAGTGGTCTGCCTCTGAGCGGCTCGGACGACGGGTCGGCGCGGGTCCGCCAGCAGGAGGAGGCCTACAGCAGAGATGTGCTGGGCGTGGAGCGGGACCTCAGGTCAGCTGGGGTCGGGGCGCCGTTGCCAGCTGTGCCACCTTATCGGCGCTGGATTGGCGATGGTTGGCGATGATTGGCGATGTTTTTTTAGCCTAATTTCTGTTTCCATGTGTCCGCGCAGGGTCATCAATTCATGATGTACGTTAATTCACCGACCATCTTTCTACGCAGGTAGGAAGTTATGCCACTCAGACAGATTTTTTTACAGGGCTGGAAATTGCGTATCTGATATCCCCACAAAGCGCACGCTGGTTTTCCTGAGTTTGATTACGATGCGGCAGCTTTGCCAGGAATGCAGTGCATTGCTTGCTGACGCCTCTGCAGCAATGCAGTGCATTGCTTGCTGACCTCATGTGAATGCGACAGTGAGGTGGAGCAGCACGTGGAGGATTTGCGAAGCAACGTCATCAACCGGCGCCGCCGGGTCAACATGACGGACGTGGAGGGCATGGCTCTGATGCTCAGCAAGTCCAGGTCAGCGACCGGCGCGGAAGCATAGCGGTGCGGCCAGCTCAAGTAGCCGCGCGCCCGGCCCCTGACGCGAGAGCCGTCCCTCCCGAGCTGTCTCTCCCGAGCCGTCCCTCCCGAGCCGTCCCTCCTGAGCCGTCCCTCCCGAGCCGTCCCTCCCGAGCCGTCTCTCCCGAGCCGTCTCTCACGAGCCGTCTCTCACGAGCCGTCCCTCCCGAGCCGTCCCTCCCGAGCCGTCTCTCACGAGCCGTCCCTCCTGAGCCGTCTCTCACGAGCCGTCCCTCCCGAGCCGTCTCTCACGAGCCGTCCCTCCCGAGCCGTCTCTCACGAGCCGTCCCTCCCGAGCCGTCTCTCACGAGCCGTCCCTCCCGAGCCGTCCCTCCCGAGCCGTCCCTCCCGAGCCGTTCCTCCCGAGCCGTCCCTCCCGGGCCGTCCCTCCCGAGGCGTCTCTCACGATCGGGGAAACGGAGACCAGTCATCCCTTACGCTAAGCTTCACCACTCTCCTGCACCATTTTGCACTATCTATGTGATAATGTGACTTCGCGTCGGTTCTGTTGCCCAATCTTACAATTCGAAAACAATTTGCGTTCGCTTTTCCCGGGGTCACACTTACTCGATGCTGTTGTCCTGCGTTCCAGTAAGACCGTAGCAGATCTTCAGAAGCGTTTTCCTGAGCTTGAGTCGAACCTACGCGGCCTGGTAGAGGTGGAAACGGACCGAGTCAGGAAGGAGGAGAGGTATGAATTTGGTGCGCCGGGAAGAAATGGGATATATAATATATACATTACAGGGGAAAACGCCGCGGACGTTGCCGATTCAACGAACGAATATATATTGTGCGGTATGATGATATTTAATCCCTGGTGTTTCGGATATGAGCTACATAAACATATGCAATCAATAGACTTGCGGCAATCTCCGTTTCACAGCCTTGTTCAACAGCCGAGCTTTCTATAACCGGCTGTTGACATGTGGCCGGTTCGGAAGCTGGACACCCATAGGCCACGAAGCTTGAAACGAGTCTCATCGCGAGAGGGTACACCAGACTTGCGCTGGAGTCGATTCAGAATCGGAATCGCCTCATGATTAATCATTAAATATGAATGATTCAGGCCTAAATTTTGTATCTTTTTAATTCGGTGAATCAGATCAAGATGAATTCATCCTTGTTCCCTATGATTAGGCTCTGATCCGAGTGAAATAAAACATCTAAGTTCTGAGGTACTAAGGAAGCAGTACCTAAGTACAAAGGAGCCATTTGAAGTTACTAAGGAACAGTACTAAGGCCCCTCCTCGAATGATGACCGGGTGAAAAATAGTGTCGCATCGATGTCATGCTAAGACGACAAGCCTTTGTTGAGACATCGACTAGCCGTAATTTCAAGCCTGCTTATATTCAATCCCTCACCTAGTCATTGTTTGAGGCATGAAGCTTGCAGTATTGCTCTTGTGTTTGTATAATGATAATTGCGACTGCAATAAACAGCTGACGAAAAATCTAGGTTTTCAAATATACATTTTCTGTAATGAGAAGTTGCAGAATTCGTAAAGCTTTTCCACCTTTGTTTCGGTTTGTGCTTTTGACTCCCAACAGATTTGAATCAGAATCTTCGCAGCATGCAAGGGTGGTTTGAGCACGAGTATAGCGTACCTACACAAGCATGCCGTTTAGTGAAGTCATGCTTGGAATAGTTCACTTCCAAAATGTTCAAGAATGCGTTAACGCTTGATCATTGTGTTCTCCTCTCTTAAACATGTTTATTGATGAGGTTTTGATCACTGTGTTCTCTTTTGAACAGGTTCATTGGTGAGGAGCCGCAGAGGCTAGAAAATGCCCTTCGCAGGATTAAGAAATTATCAGGCACGTTAGTAACCCTGAAAAGGTGAGCGATGATATCTTACATCAACAGTTTCCTGACGTCGGCTCTGAATATAATTCGAGGATGATCGGACCTCATTTTGTGCATAGGCAAGTCAGAAATCGGGTAAAGTTACCTGGTATGATTGTCAGAATGCTAAAAAACATATCACCTGTTTGTCCTATTCTTGACCGATTTTTAGCTTCTACCAATTTGATGCAGGATTGATGCACGAATACGCAAGACAGTTAATACTTGTCGGAGCGCGTAAAGTGTATGCTTAAAAAACTAAAGCAATCCTATTTGTAAGTTTAACGCGCAATGGCCGAAGTGCGTAAATGCGTAGTGACCGAGTGGTTAGAGCTACGGACTCCCCCCCCCCCTCGCAGCTCACCCGCTGGGGGCCCAGGTTCGAATCTCATCCTAATATGGGCATTGCAGTCCCTGGTGTTACCTACGTGAGCCATAACGACGTACGTCACGTTGCGCCGTAATATTACTGTCGTCATCTCGTATGTCATTTTTTAAAAAGAATCGCAAGTGATCTATAACCGTGCACATTTGTTTTTGGCACCTTTATCGCAGAGGGGGCGGGGGCGGATACCGTGTCCTCGTCAGTTCTAAGTTGGCGTCATGCCCTGCCCGTGCCAGCGTTAAACACTGCTTTCCATTGTGCTAGCCCGTGTCGCTGGCTGGCCATGGAGGTTCGGCTGCTGTCGGCTCACCTCGCGGCGTCCGCTCGCCCCCCGGCGATGGCTGGCCGTGCCGCTGACTCGTCGTGTCGGCCGGCTGTCGGCGCGTGGGCCCGGCCGGTACCGCGCCCAACCGGCCAGTTCTTAGCTCGTGGGCCCGGCCGGTACCGCGCCCAACCGGCCAGTTCTTAGCTCGTGGGCCCGGCCGGTACCGCGCCCAACCGGCCAGTTCTTAGCTCGTGGGCCCGGCCGGTCGCGCCCAACCGGCCAGTTCTTAGCTCGTGGGCCCGGCCGGTACCGCGCCCAACCGGCCAGTTCTTAGCTCGTGGGCCCGGCCGGTACCGCGCCCAACCGGCCAGTTCTTAGCTCGTGGGCCCGGCCGGTACCGCGCCCAACCGGCCAGTTCTTAGCTCGTGGGCCCGGCCGGTACCGCGCCCAACCGGCCAGTTCTTAGCTCGTGGGCCCGGCCGGTACCGCGCCCAACCGGCCGGGTGACGACAAGAGCCCGCCGACCTCCCGCCGGGCTCGTCTCGGCCGTCTGTCGTGCCCGCCCAGCCGGCGTCGTGCGCGGCGGCGCGACGACGCACTCCGTGTCGGAGATCCTAGTGACAGTGTGGTCTGGTGTGTGGCGGCAGGCTTGCGTCCGTGCAGGAGCAGCGCGTGCCCGACACGGAGGAGAGCGTAACGACCACCGCCAAGCCAGCCGACGCACCCGCCAAGGTCAGCCGAGGTCGCGGTCCGGGGCACGATCACACTAGCGCAGGTCTCAGCACCGACACACGCAACAGCGAGCTGGCGCGGTCCGTTTCGAGGGACTATTCAGGTCGTTTTCAAGCGATTCCTTGTCGACAATGGCACACACGAGGTCACCTGACAGCAGGGCATTGTGTTCAGCCAGTTTATGGATCCCATACGTCTGGCGTGATCATTATATAGCCGTTGTCAAGTGTGACTTTCGCAGGGTTTATGTTGACGTTTAATTGCGTATTACCAACAGCAGCGCAAACTAGACAGTGTTTCACCCAAGCTTTCTTCTCTGGTGCTCTCGTAGACAAAACTAGTTTGTGTGCTCTTACTCTGATATCGCCTATCTTCTCTATCGACATGGTTGAGCTCTGTTTTGCCTACTGCAACTGATACTGCTTCGTATCACTCCCCAATCGTCATGCTCACATCTACATACACGTCAGAAGCCGAGTTATAACTTTTCCATTTGTTATGCGAAACGGCTGTTTTTTACGAACAATAATAATTATGACTACGGCTGGAAGCATTGAACTGACACGGCTAACGGCGATACTGTGATTGGTGGCGCACCCACTCAATCGCAAAACCACGCGCTGTCACTGATAAGCCGAATGCAGGTGAGACTGCTGTGCATTGTAAGACCTATCTTGCAATAGATTCGCGAGACCGGCGTACTCATGAATCATGCAGCTTTTAGCATGTAGCCCGTCCTGAGAGATGTAGCTCACCAGCGCTGAAAGAACGCGCCCCTTCCAAGTCAATATGTACCTTCTGGCAATTGGCATGCTCGGCGACTCTGACGTCACTAGCACCGTCTACATGAAGGGTTAGAAATATCTCAAAATTGTCACAAAAAGTTCGACAAACCAAACATCGCACTGCCCAGCGCCACCATGTCATTTACAGATGTTTTACTAGCTGTACCTTTCTCACAGCGGTGCAGCCCTTCTCCCCCCATCCCCTATTAGCGCCAGCAGTCGAATACAAGCACCGGAACGGCACAAACGCCTGCCCGCGCCGTGCAGTGTCTCAGTACGCGGAATGCTGGAAGATACGCGGCCTCACACGCCCCACGACTCCCCGTTTGCTGCTACCAATCAGCGCTGAGCGCTCCATGACTCCCCGTCCGCGGTAACCAGTCAACGCTGAGCGCCCGCGATTCCCCGTCCGCGGTAACCAATCAACGCTGAGCGCCTACGACTCCCCGTCCGTGGTGACCAATCAACGCTGAGCGCTCCACGACCCCCCGTCCGCGGTAACCAATCAACGCTGAGCGCCCACGACTCCCCGTCCGTGGTGACCAGTCAACGCTGAGCGCTCCACGACTCCCCGTCCGCGGTAACCAATCAACGCTGAGCGCCCACGACTCCCCGTCCGTGGTGACCAATCAACGCTGAGCGCCCACGACTCCCCGTCCGTGGTGACCAATCAACGCTGAGCGCTCCACGACTCCCCGTCCGCGATAACCAATCAACGCTGAGCTAGCTGTGCGCTTATTCAGTCAACCAGTCTACGTGGAGTATAAAGTCGCGGGTTTTGGAAGGCTTGATTAAAATAGCAGGGGCGGCTGTTTCGAAAGCCGCTACGCAGCCGCCATGTAAATTGTCAAAGCCTGGCACGAATTCTGGCCAAGAGGCACATTATCCATGCTCGCAAGTGGCGTGCAATTTTCCCGAACTGAATTCAAATGTCTTGAACTATAAATGATACGATGTCTTTGACGTCAAAACTCCGTTATATTCTGACCTGGTTTGCACTATTTCACAGCGGTTTCAAACCCTTGGAGCGTTGCCTTAGATTTTCTGCAAGCCGGTAACAGCTCATCACCCTATATAAATGGGGCTATTGCGACAACATGGTAGTGCTGGGAAATGCGGCGGCGAGAGCCCGCCTCAATCCGAGCGACCGAGCTCCCTTAGTGGTATCGCCTCCTCCCCGCCGCTCTCTGTTCTCTCTGTCTCCCTTTCTCTGTCCGTTTCTAGCTTTGTAGTTCTTTCTAGCTTTTCGTTTTCTGCCTCCCTCACTCGCACACACCATGTACAGTTCCCTTCTATAGAGGTGCCGTACGGGGCTCTGCACTCCCTTCAAGCGAGTACAGAACTCCCCGAGTACAGAAAACTCCCCTGTTGGCTATAGATCAGTGTTTTCATCGCATGTTTACAACAGAGACTGTGCAAGCATAAGCTAATACACTTTTAGTATGGATTAAAGTGAACAGACGATAATGCGATTGCAGCAAACGTTAGCGTACTCGATGCGTATTTCTATACACTTTTGAGCTGCTGTTTTCTAAGATCTGGCAACAAATTTTCTCTTTCATATGCTTGTTTGCACAGCACCTGTTGACGAGATAGTGTATGTATACAGACGTGTGCACCATGTGGGTGATTTTTGTGACCATGGAAGCCGCTGAATTTTTTACCACTAGTTAACAGTAGTTTTCCGTATTGTAGAGGCTGAAGCATCAGTGGCGACAGAGTTCTCTGTTCAAGGAGAGAATCACCGGCAACGAGTAAATGGTCCAGTTTTGCTATTCGTGTCGCTAGTGGCTCAACCCATTTATTCCATGTTTTGATCCACCAGTGTTTAGTTGTAGATCTGTGTTCAGTATTTTCTATGTGGCAGTGCGCATGGCAACAGCTCCTAGTAGCGCTGGAGGCACTGTCGTATAGTTTTCAGCTGGCTTCGGCGCGCGTTTGGCCACGTAGAACGGCTTCCCGCGGCGCCAGGCCTGTGTCGGCTTGCTATCCGCTGGCGTGTCACCCCGATATCCATTTAATCGCTGTCTAGCAGGGCCGTTGGCAGTTGTACGGTTTGCATTTTTCTCTGAGTATCCGGATAGCCAGGCAGCTTGGCTCGGAAGAGCTCGGACTCGGACCTTGCTAGCTCTCCAGCCCCGGCTGACGCTGACACCGATCCGGCGCTCTATCCGGATAGCCGGCAGCTTGGCTCGGAGAGCTCGGACTCGGACCTTGCCAGCTCCCCAGCCCCGGCTGACGCTGACACCGATCCGGCGCTCTATCCGGATAGCCGGCAGCTTGGCTCGGAGAGCTCGGACTCGGACCTTGCTAGCTCTCCAGTCTCGGCTGACGCTGGCACCGATCCGGCGCTCTATCCGGATAGCCGGCAGCTTGGCTCGGAGAGCTCAGACTCGGACCTTGCTAGCTCTCCAGTCTCGGCTGACGCTGGCGCCGACCCAGCGCTCTACGCTTCTTTCACACAAGCACTCCATGGGAACCTCGATCAAGGGGGCTACTTTGCTATCGCTTATCTTACACACATATGTGCTCCTGTTGAACGAATGGTCTCATCTTCTTGCACGATGATGTTTTCATACGGCTGTTCGCGGCTGTTTAAATATGAATAGAATGCTCTGCACGTGCACAAGAGCAATAAAACGCTGGACTAACCTGTCGGAAGCAAGTGCTTGCTCTGCTTTGTCCCACGTCGTGGTAACCGAACAGTGGATCACCATGCTAAATCGCTATGTCCACCATGCGGTGTAACCATGTCACCAATCCACTCCCACCTCACCCCAAATCCCTGCAACACCCTGACATAACGGGAGGATGCTGCAGTCGTGACCCATGATAGGTGGTTGCCCCCGCCTCCCCCCCCCCCCCTGATCACCTGCACAACCCTTATGTGGATCCCCTGCGTGGGGTAAGTTTTGATGTCCTAGGGAGCCTAGGATGTCCGCAGCATCGCTCCATCTTTGCCCCACCCTTAATCCCATAGCTTGGATGTGGTCATTGATGACCGAAAGCGTTCTCACCTTAACAAATAAAAGCAACAAGTATGTTTTCATTGTGCATTGTTAATGCCAGCCAGTATCAAATTGTTTGCTGCTTCGAGACACTGCCATTTCGCCGCACAAAATCACAGGCTGAGCACAGGGCTTCACGAAGGTTGATGCGCTTCAAAATTTACAAGTTATCACACAATACATCCGTAAGTACTCACCGCTTGGGATGGCACAGTGGCAGTGGTAACATGGACATAAATGTCCACGATTGATTCAGGAAAGGTTTATCGTACGCTGGTGTGCATCTACGTGTGGAACGGGACCCCTGTTAACATAAGCCCAAATCATTATCAGTGGAGCTAAGCTGGAATGTATGAACAACAAAATCTTTCTAGCATTGAGAGGCAGATCGCTTGCCAGGTCTCTGGGACAAGTAACTCCCTACACCCGGCCTGTGGCCTCGTGCAAAACGACGTCGGACGTCTTCAAACGTGCTGACTTGGCAAACTGTCTTTCAGAGGAGTAGTTTCCTATGCAGCTGGTGGTGGGGGGGGGGGGGGGAGTGGGGGGGCGGGTGTGCGGAACTCGCCCAAGTTTGGGAAGAAATTGAACCACAGCCAGGAAGAAGCCAGTGTACTAGCGTATTTTGGGGTAGGTTGTATCTCTTTCACTTTTCGTCCCCTAAGTATTTTGCGAAACTGCGCTCCTGTGTATAATCCTCCGCTAGCCATGTGTAAGTTCTTCCACGATCGTATTAACTGTTCATTGAAGGGAATATTCCACATTTAAAGATGTTGCGGCAAATAGCAATAGTTCACTTATCAGCAAATATGTTTCCCATTACGTCATCTTTTGACTGTGTCATATGTATGTATCTTACGCCACATTGATTGAGAGCCGACTGACCACCGCCATATCTAGAAATCCCGCTCACAAACGCCAGTTATGAATGCTTTGACAATAATATTGTGCTTGGCCTTAGCCGTCGCATAGCCAGTGGAGTGGTAATATTTTTACGTCATTTTAGGGTCATGGATGTCTGGATGACCTTGAAATAGTCTCCTCGAAATGGCCTGCATATCCTTGCGGCATGTAATTAAGAAACCAGAGCGGTTTATACACCAAGAAGGGCAGGACTGTGAAATGCACCGAATGAACTTCAAGATGGCCATTTCAGTTACAAAAAAACGTACAAATGTGGAACAACACGCCCTTTAAAGGGATGTTT